GCAAATCTCTTTAACTCAGAACCTGAACTCCATGCACCCAGAAACCATTGTTATTTGAGCTGGACACAGATTTTTGGGAGGGTTTAATTCCTTTTTTGATAATGAGCATTTTCAGCAAAGATTTTCATTTTTCCCACCAAAAAGGTCCATTTTTCAATGAAACTCGCAAATATCCATTTTTCAGTTTTCCTTTTATTCATTTTTCCAGTTTTCAGTATTTCCCATTTTTCCCTTTCCCCGCACTTTTTTCTTCCCCCTCCCCCTTTTCAGTAGCAAAACGGAAAAAGGAAAAAAACCTGCTAATTTTCTAAACTGTTAATTTTAAATTTTTTGAGAAAAAAAATTTTTTTGAACACATAAATTGTTCTTTTTCCAACCCTTATGATTTTAATTTTTTCCCCACAAAAGATCTTTACGATTTCTGACCATTTCTAGTTTGATATAATTATCTGCATGAAAAAGAGAGCAACTACCCCTGATCAAATATTCAGAGGCCCTTTATTAGCAGTGGGATAATAATACTCCTTCTTGGTAAGTGAGTTTTGAGAGCTTTCGATCAAAAGTAATATGTAAGTGAAAAGGATTATTATTCCAAACCCTTTTTTTTTTTTGCCACAAAACCTGGAAATTTTCCAGCTGAAAAAATGCCCTCTTGTTTTTTTCCCCAAAGAGATCTGGAGATTGAGGTCCAGATACCACAATGATGAATGTAACTGCCTGGCCAGACAGATAAGACAAAGACAGGATACACAGACAGTGTAGAGTTTAAATTTTTAAAGAACATGGATGACATACCAGTCTTTGTAACACAATACAGCATTTATGAGCGCTGATTCTGTGCACTGCTTGGGTAAGGTACTGTTAAAATCGTTAGGAAAGAAAAAAGCCAAATTTCTCGAACCCCAGCAGGGTGAATGTGTCACTGTAGGTGGTAGATACAGACACTCTCAGAGCCCCAGCTGTCTTCTTTTAGTATGTGCCAACCAGCATTTTTAATCTTTAGCTAGTTCAGTTGATCTTTAATAAATAAGCCAATGGAGGGGAATTAGATATGCTGGTATTCCCCACCTCCCCATTCCCATTTAGCTAGCACTAGGGTTGCCAACTTTCTAATCACACAAAACCAAGCACCCTTGCCTCTTCTCCAAGGCCCCGCCCCTTCCCTGAGGCCCCGCCCCTGCTTATTCCATCCCCGCTCCCTCTGTTGCTCGCTGTCCTTCACCCTCACTCGCTCGCTCATTTTCACCAGGCTGGGGCAGGGGGTTGGGGTATGGGAGGGGGGTGAGGGCTCCGGCTGGGGGTGCAGGCTCCAGGGTGGGGCCAGAAATGAGGGTGTGGGCGGGGGCACCGGGCTGGGACAGGGGGTTGAGGTGCAGGGGAGTGAGGGCTCTGGCTGGGGGAGCGAGCTCTGGAGTGGGGCCAAGGATGAGAAGTTTGGGGTGCAGGAGGGGGCTCCAGGCTGGGGCCAAGAGGTTTAGAGTGCAGGAGGGGGTTCTGAGCTGGGGCAGTGGGTTGGGGTGCGGGGAGGGGTTCGGAGTGTGGACTCTGGGCGGCACTTATCTCAGGCGGCTCCCCAGATGCAGCGGCATCCCCCCTCTCTGGCTCCTAGGCAAAGACGTGGCCAAAGGGAGCTGCTAAGCCAGTACTCGGGGCGGGGGCAGCGTGCAGAACCCCCCTGGCCTCTCCTGTGCCTAGGGGCCACAGGGACATGCCAGCCGCTTCCAGGGAGCCACACAGAGCCAGGTAGGGAGCCTGCCAGCCCCGCCAAATGGACTTTTAACGGCCCGGTCAGTGGTGCTGACCAGAGCCGCCTGGGTCCCTTTTCGACCGGATGTTCCAATTAAAAACTGGACACCTGGCAACCCTAGCTAGCACTTGCACCCATTCTTTTTGGATGGGAATGAATCTTGGTGATGACCCAAATTTCAAAGGCCAGACAAGCCACCTCGATATCAGCTCACTTAACAGACTATCTTGGAATATTTTGTCTGTGTATCAAGTTGTGCTGTATGGGCTGAACTCAGTACCTTTGAAGTCAATGGTAAATCTCCTGTTGACATTAAAGGGAACTGGGTTGCACTATAATTCATTACCATTTTACCTGTTTCATGTCAATTTACATTAAATAAATTGACAACTGGTATTTAGCAAATTAGGGGCCTGCCTTATTCGCATTGAAATCAATAGCAAAACTCCCAAAGAGCAGGCTTGAAGTGATTTTTTGGTGTATACCATTTGAAAATCAGTGATGCCCTTCAATGCATGTCAGTTAGTTTACACACTACTCAGGGCCAGGTGGTGCAAATGTCGTTTTAATTTTTAATTACGAACATTCTATAATTACATTTTTAGTCTAATTGCGTGGCTGGCAGGTGAAACAATGCGATTTGGAGGCTGGAAGGAATATTTCACATTATATGATTAAAGAACTGGGAGGAGGCACTTCTCCTCTTTGATAGATTCACTGTCAGCTGGCCGAGCAGCTGAAGCTCACCTGTCTTGGAACAGCTCTGCCGAACTGTCCACCTGACTTTCTGAAATGCCAGGTATAAAGGATCTTCCAAAACCTTTAAACATTGCTCTAGATGTTGTCAGCCAATCGCTGGTCATCTCTCTAGAACCAGGAATAATATCCTTCTGATGGTGAGGAGTCTAACAAGCATATTAAAAAGCCAAGTATTTTGCCAGTGCACACAGATATTCTGTTGCTCCCTCCATTCAGTGGACTAGGCTGTAGATATTGGGCCCAGTGTAGAGGTGATGTAAATTAGACTCCGTTAGACCAGCTTAACTACATGTAAGGGAGTCCAAGTTAGGGCAAGGAGCTCAGATTTATGCCTATTTATGCAGCATCTTGAATGTAGCTCATTGTGTTTGACTGTAGTAGCAAACAGCAGGAAGGGGTATTATGTGTGAGGTAGTGAGGAAAATTTAGATTTGGGTCTAAAGGGGGAGTCTAAGATGGTGTAACTTACACCTTTTCCCAGACCCCTCTGCATGTGAGTGTCATCAATGAACGTATACACTCATAGTCTCACTTAGACTCCCCTTGATTCACACCCACTTCCTAAGATGGAACTTCCTGCCCCACCCCCCATGTGACCTCTGCATTTTCCCAATTGTCAGGTCTGCCATGAATCCTTTGCACCATTCTATCAGCTACCTAGACATTCCCCCAACAGAAGGAGATCCTCATGTGGCACAGAGCCAGGGTTGTGGTTCTATGCCACCCACCCACTCCCTGATGCAGGAGGCACAATCGGAGATATTGCCTCCTTGGAGCCATGGGCAACTGGGCATAAGTCAGAAAAGCCTTTGGGTGGCTCTAATTTATTCCAGTGGCCAAACTTGCCCTGTGCTGGGTCCAAGCTCATGGAGACACAAACCAGTAGGTGCCATAATACTACCTTTGCCTCCAGGGCCGGCTCTGGCTTTTTTGCCGCCCCAGGCAAAAAAGCCTCCGGCCGCCCCCCCCCCCAGCGCGGGGGGTGGGGGAGGGAGGGCGGCCAGAGCCCCGGGGGCAGGGCGGTGAGCCCCGGCCGGGGCTCCGCTCTCCCTGGCGGCCGGGGGGAGGGCGCTGGGGGGGAGGGCGGCCAGAGCCCCGGCTGGGGCTCCGCTCTCCCCCCAGTGGCGAGCCCCGGCCGGCGCTCCGCTCTCCCCCCGGAGGCCAGAGCCAGAGCGCCGCGGCGCCCCCCTCCAGGTGCCGCCCCAAGCACAAGCTTGGTGGGCTGGTGCCTGGAGCCAGCCCTGTTTGCCTCACCCCTCAGCTGCTGCACCTAGTACTGCTTGACCAGAGGCAGGAATGAGGCCGGTGAGTCTAAACTGGGGGAGGGGCTTGTGCCAAATAACAGCTGGTTGAAAAGAGACCTTTCTACACAGAAGTCCTTGGTGTAAGAGGAAAGGAGCTAGTGAGATGGGGTGAGGCAATGCACCGCTGGGCATTCACATTTTTGGATCAAACCCAGGATCGTGGTCACTGTGCAGTGCAAAGATAATTTGGGAGATACCTGGCTTAAGTAATATCTACAGTACCTCTGCTTCTTTCTCTTCTCTTTTCTTTTCATCCACATGAAGAATCCCTTCACAAGAAGAAGAATCTGGTATTTTTCAGGAACAATATGCAGCTCTCTATCCAGATTTTCTGTCATTTGGAGAGAATTTGTCAGTCCATTGTGACAGCAGCTGTACTGATGCACTCCATGAAACCAACAACGGCATGTCCGAGGGAAAGAAAGAGAAGGAGACTGTCAAGTGTGCATCCTCATTTTTCAGCTATGGGGATTATGCTTTGGATCTTCAAAATCCCATCATTCACAATGAAGCAGCAAGGCATCTGTGCAGGGCACGAAGATTCATATTTGTATCTATGGATGAAGTTGTGTGACCATGTAGTACTTATGAGCATTCGCTTCCTGAGGCTATGGACAGTAATTGCCATTAAGTGCCAGCAGCACTGTTCAATTGCCATTAAACAGGAAAACTTTCAATGCCAATTTGTATCCAAGAGACACAACTTTACTGAATTCCATTTATCTGCCTTTCCAAAGCATCTACTATTGTAGAATCTAAGCACCGGTAATATTCAATGGGCAGGAATTGGTGCATGGAAAAAGACTCCACTCTGTATGCTTTTGAGATGGGGGGCAAAGGATCGAAACACAGAACTGGGATTCAGCAATTCTTGAATTCTAATCTCAGTGCTGATGTTAACTCCCTTAGTGGCCTTGGCTTTATTTGACTTTACCTTGCTGTCTTGGTTCCCCCAGGTATAGAATGGAAATAACTCCACTCCTCCTATCTCATAAGGGTGTTATGAGGATTAACTAAATGATTCATAGATTATAAAGCCAGAAGGCACCACTGGGATCATCTAGTCTGACCTCGTGAATAATACAGACTGTAGGGCTTCCCTGAAATAATTCCTGGTTGAGATACTTCATATCTCTTAGGAAAAAAGCCAATCTTGATTTTAAAATGACCAGTGGTGGAGAATCCACACAAAAAATATGGAATGCTACACATTTGCATGTCATCTTTGCATAGGGGCCACATTAATCATTTCTGTGTCTTTCCAGATTTAGTACATTATGTTGGCCTAAGATTTGCACATTTATGTCCAACCTAAGCCCTTGAAATAGGGCTTCAGTAGTGCACAAGTCTTGTACTGGCCAGGGGTACATTTTATCTGCTCTTTCTATGAGACTGCCAGTTGTGCTACACGGTGTGGCGGCTTCACTCTTCATTAAATAGGAAACTATTGTAGATTCCCTTTGTAGGAGTGAAAACTAGTGAAGTAACCTACTGCATTACTACGCCTCTTGCAATGAATATTTTTATTCTCAAGCTTGTTTTATTTTTATGAGTCCTCCTAATTACAGCAAATTAAAAGAAAAAACAGCAAGCAGCAATTAGTAGGAACATAAGTTAGTAATATTCATGACGTAAGCTATAGTGACAGCATGTGAGGAGCTGTTCCAAAAATTGAGACTAAAATTTTAATAGAGATAAACTTACAGCGCGGCAGGGGAAGGTCATTCCGTTTCACAGAGGATTTAGATATTTTGAAATTTGATTCCATTCTGATTAAGAATGAAACCCAACTATTTCAAAATTCTCCACCGAAAGTTATGGCGTGCCAGCTCCCAGACAGTCCGCCTGTCCGGCTGCCCCAGAGCCACAGATACTGGAAGATTTGGGGTCCCTGGCCCCGGAGCAGTCCACATGGACAGCTGATCCAGAGCTGCAAACCCTGGAACCTGGGCTCTCCAACAGCTCTCCAGGCAGGCTGCCAAGGAGCCAGGCAGGTGAGCTGGCAGGAAACCAAGCAGGTTTCAGATGGAGACCTGCCTGGATCCTGTTAGAACGCCAGCAAAATCAAGCCCTCTCCACCATGTTGCAATTTTGCCAAATCGGCAAATTCCAACAAAATGTTTCATCAGAAGTTTCTCATCAGCTCTAAATAGACTCACACGAGGGCCGAAAAACCAAGTGAGAGCATGTGATTTGGAAGACAGGGCTTGTTCTGTGCTGCAGCACTGGCAACTTCATGTGTTGGCTTAATATTCAGGGTGCATATTCTGAAAATGTCAGCGCACAACTTTCCTCCGTACATGTTTAAAGCCCTGCTCTGGTATAAACTGACCATGTGCAAACACGTAGCTGGGATTTTGCATTTGATAAACCAGAAGCAGTTTACCCATAACATATTTGGTTCTCACAGTCCTTCACTTTGCATTGAAGGTAAACTTGTATGCTACAAAACCAAGGCTAAATTGTGCCTTTGGGACACAGCTCAAAGGAGAGGCAGGTGTGGACCACGCTGTCCCAAGTAGAAACTTGTGGAAGCATTCATCTACAGACAGTCCCAGTTCCCTCTGGAGAGCAACAGGAGCACAGTTATCGCACCTCCCTTTGGCAAAGGTCAGGGTGCCCTTTCCAGTCTTATTTGGGGCCAGCCCAGCTATCAAGTGCAAAGGAAGGACTAGGACATGGCACTTCCCCTCTTGACCTCTCTCCATGTGGTGGCACTAGACTCAGAGTCCTGGCATTCATGACCATGCCTGACCCTCTCTCTGTCTCTCACGTTTGCAAAGGTACCCTTCATCTTCACTCCCACACATCAGTAGAGAGATACTGTATCATTCTTTTCCAGAGAGAGAAGATTGCATTTTCTAGACTGACAGTATCTAATGGTGACAAGAGTCATTCTCCCCATGTTTCATCAGCGATAGCAGAAATGTTACCTTGGAGCTGCCACACAGCTGGCTGGAAATACCGTGTAGTGTAACTCAGTAAATCACCTACGTCACACGATCTTTGTCAGTTGGGGAAGCTCTCTACAGCATCCACCCGCCAGAACAACTGGGCTATTGCTCTCTGGAGGCTTGGAAGGTTTAGATTTTTATCAGTAAATATCGATAAACATTGATTTCACCGAGTGCGCACAAACCAATGAAAAAATAGTTCCATAGATAATTATTGATATTTACAGCCTGGCAAAGTAAGAAAAATGCTGCTTGAGAACTTACTCAAGTTTGATTTAAGGCTAAAATTTTGACATATGATGTTAATAGTTTGTGTTTCAATGGTTATAAAGCTTTAACTTTTTTAATCTCAACATCTACTGTAATTAAATAATTGTTGCCTGCCCCCCTCCACACACACGCATATTGTCTGTCCCTCCTGCAACTGTGACCATTTAAATCAATAAAAGTCAAAAAAAAAAAAAAGTTTAAACCCCCTAATTTTGCACAACTGTGAAAATTTAAATTGATGAAAATTGAAAAACAGGCTTAAACCTAAAAATCAATATTATCCATCAAAATGATAAAAAAAAAACAATCAAATTCTGCCCAGTCTAGCTGTATGCAATTCTGCCCAAGTCCTGGCATAAGCAATTGAACCTGGTGCAGTGACTGCTCTGTCACTGAGCTGTCCTTTGAGTTACTGTAACTGGTCTGTGGAAACCAGACCCTATCCCAAATATATCGGTTTGTTGTTGTTGTACTATGATTAATAACCATATTACATGCCTGGCTCCTTCCAGTGCTTTACAGTAGAGAGAGGCTATGTAATTATTCCCATCTGGCACATGGGAAAAGTGAGATAGGGAGGCTCATGTCAATGACAGTGTCGAAGGCAGGAAGAGAACCTAGGAGTACTGATTTCTAGTCCCCTGCTGTAATCTCACTAGACTTTAAGAATCCAAGAAAGGAGACACCTCCATCCTGGTGACTGGAGAGGAAAGAAAGAGAAGCAGGAATCAGAAAGGAAAGAAAAACCCTAGCAAGGAGCAAGAGATGGGCCTGTAAATGGAGGAGAAACCTGCCTTGAGGAGTAGAAACTCTGGAGAGGCCGCTGTCAGACTCTTTGGACCACAGAGACAGAGGTGCTATTTCACAGGCACAACTCACAGTATGCCAACAGTATTTCTGTGGTGCTGCCAGGCATCCTTTGATACTTTAGCTCAGAGTGCTCCCTGGAGTCTAATTGGGGCCTTTCAAGTACCGTACTTCCCCTTCCTCCTCAGCTGTAAATACATGTAGCGGTTCACTACCGATGGGAGGCTGTCTAGATAAACAAGACAGAGCACAGGGCTTGGGTGCTTTTAGGAGACAAATATATGCTCTGACTGACCACAATTACAGTAAGCTCCAGTTTTAGGAAGAGGATTTGAATCTATCTACATCTTCCCTTCCCCTCCCTGAATATATTATATACCAGATATTGTTCTACGGTCAAAGGGGCCTTTATCATGAAAACAATGAACTGCTTACTCCAGATCAAGAATTATTAACAGAAATGATTCAGTCAGCAAGGACTACATAGGAGAAAATTGTAAAGTGTTCTTGGACAATTTGCAAACAGAAAGAGGCACAACCTGCAAGAGGGAGCACAAAATCCCATGCCAGGGCAAGCAGGGAAATGGGTGATACTTTCTCCCTCAAAAGGCCCACTGCACAGACACTCAGGAGGGGATAGAAATATCTGGGGAGAAGGCCCTCCTTCTTCTCTCTCTCATACTTCATGCAAGAGGCCAGAAACAAACATCTGAGGAGCACCATGTACAGAGGAAGGTTTACAAACAAGTTTCATTGGTCCTTCATCAAATGTGCCTGGGGTGAGGGGTCACCCTGATGGAGACTGCAGGGTTCTGTTGAGTTCTTTTGGGACTGCCCTTGTGGTGATAAGAATATTGTTAAGGGTCCTGTATACCACTGATTCTTCTTTAAACAGTTGAGCTGAGACAGCTACAAAACAGTGGGTGGTGCAGAGTTGAGGTGGCTTTGAGATGGCAGATGGTGCACGGGCAGCATTGGTGCGGGTGATGGCTCTGAGGTAGCTTGGGCTGCAGCTACAGAGAACAGCAGCCTACTTGGGGGACTCCGGTGTGGGCCTCCCTATCTAGCAATCAAAGCTGAAATCACCTGAGCTGGGTCTTGTGGTAGAGGCCCCAGAGCAGCCCAGACACCACTGACCTGCCAGAATCCTTGGCCTCCACCAACCGAAGACAACAGACTGCGGGCAGGGAGCTGGAGTGCAGGGAAGTGGCTAGAACGCATTCAGCGAGTCACAAGTGCCAGAGGAGGACTGAGGTTGAGAGGACTGCTAAGATGCCCTGGAAGTGTGTGTCTTACCTTATAGGATTTGTTTATTTATTGATTGCTGGCTTTCCCTGGTTTAGTCTCTTCCCCCTCCCTGCTCCTCCAAAGCTCTCTTTGTTTTAAACCCCTGCACTCAGTGCTTGTGAGTGGGGAAGTATTGCCTATCGGGGCACACGAGGTAGTATATACACTTTCCCAGGTTTCTGGGTGGGGCTTGAGCAGTGTTGTTTACATTGTCAGAAGGAACCTCTAGAAAATTGAACTTAGCCCTTTCTGTTGCCAGTCACACCTGGCAGAAGGATTACATTTGTATAGTGTGACCTACTTACAATAAAACCAACTGTCCTTCTCCAGGTGTATTGACTGGCATTTGCTATTGCCACATGGACCCACTGGCCACCCACCCCTTAATGGACGCAGAAAAGTTTAATCTCTGTAGCCAGTCAACTCAGTTAGCTGGCGCAGCTAGAATGGCTAACCCAGAGCAGTTGCACTCAGGGAAACACAAGGCCTACATCTGTGACCAGCCCATGCACAGGACACAATGTGGCTGTTAGGTTTATCTAGCTCATCTGTCAAGGTTCCTTCCCCACTCTAAACTCTAGGGTACAGATGTGGGGACCTGCATGAGAACCTCTAAGCTTAACTACCAGCTTAGATCTGCTTTTGGTGCCACGACGCAAATTATTTATGAGTTATTTGGGAAACTCTGTCTACCTCCCCCCAGAATAGCTCCCTCCCAAGTACTATAACCCTTCCCTGGGTAGCCTTGAGAGACTTCTCCACCAATTCCCTGGTGAACACCGATCCAAACCCTTGGATCTTAAAACAAGGAGAAATTAACCATTCCCCCTCCTTTCCCCCCATCAATTCCTGGTGAGTCCAGATCCAACCCCCTTGGATCTTAAAACAAGGAAAAATCAATCAGGTTCTTAAACAGAAGGCTTTTAATTAAAGAAAGAAAGGTAAAAATCATCTCTGTAAAATCAGGATGGAAAA